ACGACAGCAATCTACTAAAAAAATTCACTCAAATGAGAAATATGCCAAAGAATAAAATAATACTATACATAATTTTTTAATGTATATTTGTAAATTGTACTTATGTTGAAATTTTTAAAAATTACAATACTATTTTTGCATTCTATGAAAATTTTTGTTGTTCCATATAGATCAAATTTTTAATTAAGAAACCCCCTCCCCCCCGCAGTCAATGGTGTCCCACTTTACCAATGTTAAAATCTGGTCACCTTACGTTAGGGGAAAAATGTCCAGGCAGTGTGGTAGGGCATAGAGAATGAACTTTGGAATCAAATAGGACTCCATTGAAATCACAGTATTGCCAATGACTAGATGAGTGATCTCAGGCAAGTCACAGTCTGTCAGAATATCAGATTCCTAATATAAAGAAATTTACAACACCTGCCTAACAGGTTCTTGTGAGGATTTAACAAGACAATGAACATATAAGTCTACCCAGGCCTTGCTACCCAGTAGGTGTTCAACAAGCTTGCTTTTATATGCTGCTTCTTCCCATTCTGACATTGCATGAGATGTGGCAGTAAGTTCTGACAACAAAGTTCTAGCTCTGTGGGATGACAAAAATTCTTGCCCAGAGGCAGATGGAATGAAACATGGGCTAGAGTTTCTCTGTGTAAAGTATCCTCTGATGATGAGGTTTTTTCTTTGTCTAGATCTTAACCACTTATCAACCTGGTTGACTCTTGGCCAGGGAGAAGTGTTTGGTACGAAATCCTGTGGCTCAGTGGGTAGGGTGCTGGCCCCATATACTGAGGGTGGTGGGTTCAAACCCAGCCCCAGCCAATCTACAATAACAAAAAAAGCCAGGCATTGTGGCTGGCGCCTTGGGAGGCTGAAGCAAGAGAATAACCTAAGCCCAGGAGTTGGAGGTTGCTGTGAGCTGTGTGATGCCATGGCACTCTACCAAGGGTGATAAAGTGAGACTCTTGCCTCTAAAAAAAAAAAAATTCACTGCATTTAGCGCACTGTCAGCAACAGCCCTCAGTTGGCTTTCAGTCACCATCATGCTCCCCCTATATTCTAAGCTGAGTAATGCAGCAGGCATTCTCAGCCATACAGAGAGAGAATAGGAAGATCTTATGCACACAATCTAGATAAAAACCACCATCTGCCAGGTCCTGGGAGGTATTGTGGCTCTGCCAAAGGAGGCCCCTTTAAAACCAAGGGTTTTTTTTTTTTTTTTTTTT